TCCCCCCTAATAAAAAATTATTTACTTTATTAGTAGCGTTGATGTATTATTCTTTATTGCGCATTGTAAAGAATTTCAAAAGTAATTCAAGGACGTATTTTCATCGTCAGAGCGATAAACAAAGTCAAAATTAATGCTACAAAAGTCATTTTTAACGTTCGTCTTATGGACTTTGCTATAACTGCGTATGCAGTTTTTTCTTGATAAGGTTAATTATAATGTTAGTAAATTTGCTCGATCAGTAAGCGAGGAATTAGTAACTAATGTTAAAAAGGTTTATTCGATTTAATCACAAAATAGTCTAAACACGAGCCGTTTTGATGTGTAGGGTGGTAATTTGTTGGTAATAGTCCATGACAAGAGCAGATAATAGGTCCTTATATATGAAATTGGCGTTTTGTACGGGAGGAATTTAAAGTCAATTTTTTTTGTAAAGTATATTTAATTAATCAAAGTATAATGATTTCTTATATTTACGCCAACACTACACATTGAAATAATACTAGTTTTTACGGAATTTATCGCGTATATTTAACTTTTTAAATACCCGACGTTTCGAACGCTTTACAGCACGCATGGTCACGGGCGGGACTGAGATGTTCAACGTCCATATGTCATAGTTAACCGCGGTTATCATAGATTAAAATTTAACTTTTGTTCCGATATATGCATATGTATCCGATCTGCATAGATCGGAACAAAAGTTAAATTTTAATCTATGGTATATGTAGCATTTTTCTTTTCATATGTAGCGATGGAGCACACCTCGTTGAGGCACTGTTCACTGGTTGTCATCCAATGTTGTAACTCTGGAGTTGGAACTGCTTTCATTGGTTCGCTTGAGGTGGGTGTCAGCACGGGTGGGTTGATGGAGGCGGGTTGCGAATGATCGTCCCACTCCGGTTGAAGGAGCTGTTCTCCATTTTATTACTTATTCTGGTACTTTTAATAGTTCACGCTAAACATTTCCACAAAATCACTAACACATATATAACTAAAGTATTTCACAGTTACTACCGGTATCGTTACGAATATATCGAGGTCACGGTTAAGCACATACTTATTTATTTATTTTAATTATTATATGACCCGTCTGTACACAACGAAATACGGTCAGTGTATAATATGTTCCGACAGCGCGCTGTAACTCAAGGGTAATGGGCGAATTGGTAAAGTATCTTCGAATACGTCATTTAAGCACTACTATAGAGGAACATTTTTTATTTATTTTGTTAAATTTGGTTTTTTGTTGTTTTGGATTATCAGAGTTACTTATTACGTGAAAGTTATTTTAATATGGATTAGCAAACAAAATTTCTATAAGCAGAAATGCGTGGAAAATAAAGTCAAGAAAAAACCCTCTTAATATTTAACGTTAAAAGCTTTTGTCAGCCTTACATATTTATGTATATCGTAAGCAGAGTACAACGTGTGAATTGAAGACACAAAGTGTGATGTTGAAAACACAAAGAAACCTTTAGAAATAAACTAATACCCGGGAATAAAATCATAGAAATTGGGTAAATAAATCCTTTCAAATAAATCGCGCGGCAGTAGACTTTGATAGGCTATAATAAATGGATGAAAAAACTTGATAATAATGATTACATTTTCGTGATATTCTTCGATAATTCGATTCGATAATCTTTCATTGCTTGTCAGTCAGTATTTCCCGAAGGTAGCACGAATCAGGGTAATGAACTTTAACAATAAGAGCTTTATAAAAATCCATTCATTAAATAAAGTAAAATGAAAAAGGATAAGAGACCTTAATCAAGCTCTCAAATATTTTACTGATTTAATTTAATACGCTGAATTAAAATGCAAACACTTTTGCTACTTGAAAATATTTTTTAATCCTAATCAAATTTAGAAGAATTGCAAGTTGCAAAATAAAATAGTATGACTACAGGCCGTAAGAAGTTCCGTCTTAATTCTTCTGATGACTCTCATGATCTGTAAGGAGTTGGTATTATACACTACAGATGTCCATGGACTGCAGTGGACACTATCAGGCGGACTGTGGTATCGTTTGTATTTGAGTCAGTAGCAGTACTACCTTATATATATCTTAGTTAAGATAAAACGATATGTTTAATTTTAACGTCCTGTTCTCTAATTAATAATAAATTGTGTTATTAATAGATAAATTTAGGACGTGTACCGAGCATAATACCTTTTAGTATTAATTAATTTTTCTTCCAGATAATAAATAAAACCAAAGGAAATTTTCGGCATATTTCGTTTTGCTTTTAAATTATATTAAGCTTTTTTTCTTAATATCTATTCATTACATTTTTGTATTAATTTTGGTATATTATTTCTACACAGAGCAACAAAGCAGAATTAAATTTATAACGGAGATGAATACATTATCTATGTTGTCTGAACAAAATGTGTTGCAACCCACTAACAAGCAACATTAAATTCATTTTGACACAAACTTAAAACTAAAACTTCCTAGTTTTCTCATAAACTGTTTGTTGATTATTTCGTTTTTTACTCGTTTTTAAAACTTAGAAGAATGTATTTTGTTTATAAGACAGACTTTGAAAAGTAATTATGAATAATCAATCGTGGGTGCGAATGTTAGTGATCCTGTAACTTTTCAAAAACTTCACCGATTGAGATCATATTGTTTCAGTATTTTTACTATCTCAAGAAATCATTGGTACTGTAAAGCACTACTCGTTAGAAATAAAATTTACTTAAAACTAAACGCGATAAATCTGTAATATCCATAAAGTTTAATCCAAAAAGAATCTGGTTATTCACTTTTTGCTACATTTGAGAAAGCGTACTCCTATTTATATATTTTGATTTAATCTATGCTTACTCAAAATGTATGTATTCGATTGTAGGTTGCCTTTAAGTTGTTAAGAATTATCTCAATAGTTTCAACGTAAAGCCCTGTTCAGGATGTCACATAACTATCAATTTCCTTTAGACATGACTCCGCACTTACTCGCCGCTGAGTGAAAATAAATTATTTTAAACCTTTAGAAAAGACCATTGTAGTTTTGTAATATTGACACATGTAAACAATAGAGACGCGTACTCTTCGCAAATAGAGATTCGGAGTAAAATAATTTGTAGAAATGTTTATTGTGTTTATTTTGATCGTGATTATTATTATTGTTTATATAAAACTGAAATGATAAACTAACATTCGGCTTATCAGATAGTAAGTGGCTATGTACACCTGCAGCCAACTTAAACCAAAAAAGTTTCAGATGTGTTGTCATCTTTAAGGACTAAGATGGAATGCCTCGCAGCCTCTGATTATACTGGGCATTGAGTTATAGAAAAATTATATTAAGGATATGAGCAGATCCAGGATCTAGGATTTAGGATATGTCCCGGTTTCGCACGGGTGATTTCTGGTTCTCGATAACAGCGACTCTTACCGGGTTCAATTGTGAATCTAAACCATCCCAAGCACACAAACAAAATTAATCAAAATCGTTCAAGCCGTTTTCAAATTTAAGCGAGACTAAAGGGCAGACTATTTATGTTTACAAATAGATGTATATAGAACATACTTTAGACTGGAACACGACCTATTTGATGACAAAAATACAATTATATTTTAATTTTAGCTAGTGTTTTATTTAAAATTATATTATATTGAATGTTAAACATTCGAAATGTTTTAGTTGATATTTTGTGAAAGATGATAGTATAATTGATAATAGACTTCAACTATCAATCGACCGACTTTCTCCTCTTTGTTAGTTAGTGCATGACGAATCCGAAATTATTATTACCCGCAACTATCTACGTAAGGGTAGCCATGGTAGATCACGAGTTAAACGATGCCATACATTATCCAGTACGGGAATAATCCGGGTTCATTCCACGCCGGTAGCAAAAATTAATATTAATAATAATTTTAAGTGGTTTTTGCGGCAATCATTGTGTTACCCGCCGGTACTCGCGCATCTTTTTGTGACATAAGCGGTCGCATGAGGGTCTAAAAGAACCCAAAGTTAAATGCATTATTCTATGCCAATAAAGGAAATTATATTATTATATAAACGTAAAAGAAAAGGGTAACTAAAACAATAATGAGTCACAAATATTTATATATTTTGATTTATTTTTTATTTTCATCACAATAGTAAAGAGTTAAGTGTTAAATCTTGCTTTTTTATGCATAGGAACAAGAATCACAGTCTAACTTTTTTATTCTAGTATAACTGAAAAAAAAAACATTATTCTTACAAAAAATAATAAATTTTCTCCTAAAACAATCAATAAAATAAAACATTTAACATAACAAGTTTTTTTATAATCAGCTTTCAAACTTCTCATAAAAATCTTTCTCAAAATATTTCTTATTTGTTTTCTAATTAGTCTTCTTGCCGTCTTATCTTACTTTTGACTCATTTTCTGATTACAATTAATGTATAAAAATGCGGTGTGACTCTACATATGAAAGATTTACATATTTGGCATTGAGTTTTGGATTTTCTATCCTTTTTAGGGGGGCAGGTGGAACACCTCCCACGAATGTTACTAGGCCCAGCCGATGCCGTTTTGCCGATCTGTACTTTCTTCTCTGCCAAGTACTTGAAACATTCTGCTCCGAATGTGTCTGGGCAGAGTCGTAATAGAAGACTTCTTTTCTATTTGTGGTTTAACAAGGGATAAAGCTATGTCTTTTAAAAAGTTACGTCTTTCGAGGGGTTCTTGATTTATATGCATTATATTTGCGTTATAAATAACAAACGCATTTATACATCCCACATTAACAAGTTCAAAAAATATCATTAGTGGCCACCTTTTACTTACTCTTGATACAGAATATGTACTCTCGTCAATCACGTCCACTCCACATTTATGTATATTGTAATCCGTTATCACTTCTGGCTTGCGTTTATCTCCTGTATCAACATCTATCCATCATGATGCATTGTAGAAACAAGAAGCACCACTTTTCCCTTTCTTGGTGAGTATGATACTAATGTACAATTAGGCTTAAAGCCAAAGTAGGTAGTCTATTCTTCTCGTCCTCGTGTAGCAACAAAGCATGGGGGTATTTCTGGTTTATTTTTACGAAGAGTCCCTACAACCGTAAGCTCATAATCTTCATACAATTCTGTCATCAATGGGATACTCGTGAACCAATTATCTATTACCACGTTACGATGAGACCCTCTTACTTGCTCAACCAAACGTTTCACGACATCTGGAGGAGTGTTACTTACAGCATGTGGTCCTGAATTTTGTCTTCCGGTGTATACTTCTAAACATGGCGAATAGTAAGTTCTTGAGTCAGCCATTACAAATATTTTTATTCCGTATTTGGCAGGCTTCTTCGGCATGTACTGGAGAAATGGACAACGACCACGAAATGGCTCCAGTTTTTCATCACTAGTCACTGTATCCCCTAAAGTGTAATGGTTCTTTATAATTTCAACTAATTTGGTAAATAAATCTCTAATTGCAGCCAGTTTATCATTTTGTTTCCTCTGTTCGCGTGTATTTGGATCATCAAACCTAAAGCAACGAAGTAAAAAATGAAATCTTTGTCGTGACATGGTAGCTATGCACACGCCTGATCCAATGCCGTCAATTGCCCAAAAATCCATGGTGTTCAAATGCGCTCCACGAAGTTTTCCACAGTAATAAAGAAGCCCAAGTAGAGCCTTCAATTCTACCAAATCCGTAGGTAAGCAGTCTCTTTATCTTTGGAAGTTATCGTGGATACTGTCAATATACATATTGGTATATGTCACAACCATCTAAAAGACTGTCAGGGAACATAAGACTCCACAAGGCGTAAGTGCATCTTTTGCCTCAATAATCGGTCCCGGCGCATGAAATATAATGTTGTGGCTAAGAGTACGAACATTTCTAGAGGGTTCCTCAATACTCCAGTTAGTGGAGCTATTTCTTATTTGACGGATATAACTCAGAAGCACATCACTGAGATCAGGTCTACTGTGTAACATTTCGGCAGAAGTATTACCTGCTGAAAAATCTTCGGCCTCAGAATTATCATCATCGCCGCTTTGACTGGAATTTGAGTCGTCATCGTCGATCTCTAAGTTATCTTCAATTTCTGAAGAGACTTCTCCTTCAATACCATCTTTCTCTAGAATTTCTTGAATTCTGTGATCGTCCAAAATATTACGCGACATTTCTGCAAAGAAAAAATAAACTAAAATATTTTTAAAGAAAAATAATACACTTACACAAACCGTCGCGTAAGGGTCGAAACGACCCATACTCATTTTATACGTTCGTGCTGTCCAAACGCCTCGTGTGAACTGAGTGAGGTGGGGCGTGCGGGTAGCTTATATTGTAGCTTAAACGTACTGAGCGCGACCTTGAATAGTAGCCAACATTTAAAAAGTTATGGAACAAGAAATAAGGTACTGGGTCTTTTCGACCCATGCGCGACTACTCGCGGGTTAAAGATAAAAATCGTACGGAAATCGGAATTGTTGAGGTATTGTTACGAGCTTGAGGTTCGTGACAATAAAAATTGCCGATAGGATTACCTAAATTATCACTTTAATTTTCTTTACACAAATTAAAACTTAAAACACCAATAATTAAGCACACTAATTCACTTTATTCCGCTCCGAAGCTTCACTTGTCTCGCCAAATTCAATATTTCCCCGATCGCACCTTGCAGCGTCTATAAATACACATTAGTACCGAATCATCCAGAACATTCAAGTAAATACGCGCACCAATCGACAAAGCGCCGAAAGTTCGAGAGTCAGCTTCCAGAAGCTTAGTTCTTCGGTTCGAGACTAGATGGCGCTGTCGGTTGAAAGATTAGTGATGTCATTTTCTGGAAAGATCCCCTCGCTCTCGTCCCTGACACTAGATGGCTCGCTAGTGCCGACTTAGGCGCGTAACAGTATTAAGTACTTTTAATAATTGGTCAAGGCATTATAGCAAAAAGCCGGTAAATTTAAATAATAACAGCGAATGTGTTATTTTTTATGTTGTTCTTATTTTATGTTGTGTCCAAGAACCGTGTTTTGTTTCATTCCTTGAGGGAAAAATCATGTAAACAGTGGATTTCTGAAGGGATGATGATGAACAATAAAATTTTAAATAATTTTGAAGACTTATCCCGGGTCAAGTTTAATTAAGGTTTAATCAAGTTTAATTTGATTAAACAGTTATCTTAATATTTAATCAAAACTCAGAGGCTTATAGCTGCAAGGAAACTTTTAGCAGGGAATTGAATATTACTCGGATTGTTTGCAATATAAATTTCAAACTTAAGTGCTTACAAATTATACTAGTATAACTGTTATACTTACATTAATGAATTTTAACAGACTAGAAACTAAAAACGTAATATAACTTTTTAAATTTTAATAGAAGGTTCTCTTAACAAAATATTGTATGTTTTGTTTATTGTTCGTAACACGAAGTTATCATTTATATTGTATAGTAAAATTAATACACGAAGTTATCAACCATCGCAACGTTTTACTGCAAATGTAAGCATGTATATCTTCAAACTTTATTTATAAAAAATAAAGATAAGTATTATGATCTGATATGAGCTTTTATAATTAAAGCTCATATTTATTCCACTTATGGTTAAAATAGCCAAAAACGAAAATATAACCCTCTTTTTAGCTTTACTAACACAAAAATAGCAATTTCATAGAAATCCGTCCCGTCCTTTTTGAGTGAATATATATCAAAAGGACAACATACAGAGAAAAAAATTTTTGTTTGCTCCACTATCATTTACGCTTTTACTTCAACTTTTACCCTATAAACACGAATTCAACTTCTAAACACGCTTAGAATATTACGTATTGATTGATGAACTTGCGTACAGTCGTATATTACACATATTCGATTCGGCATTAATCAAAACAGCCTAGTGATGGGATCATATTCATTGAAAAAGCTATTCGATCGACACATACATATACATAAAATATGCTCGCTTCAACATTGTTCGGGACAACGGCTCAAAAGCAATCAATGTTGCTTATATCAATTGGATTTTCCCATTTAAACAAACACTGAACAAATACTGAATATTGCCGAATGCACCCGTACGTAGTTCTATACGTAGTAGACGCATGTTGCAGTTATATTATAGTAATATGGTACGAATGGATCGGCTCGACCGGACCTCCCATGCTCCATGCTCCCACAGAATACGAGCGTAAAATAACGGCTCAATGCAGCTGTACTATGTATTGCACTCAACATACGAGGTGAAACGGAGACCCCTTTTACTGAAAGGGACGCATTCCATCTTAGTCCTCAGGGGTGTCAGTTATCTTAGTCCTTAATCGAGGATAAGCGTCGATGTTTATGGGCCTCATCATCCACATACCATCAGGTGAACCGTGTGCTAGTTTTTGCCCATAATCTATAGAAGAAGCGTATAGCTTAAAGTCATGTATAAAAGATAATTCACGACAGTGTCCGCTAGCATAGATATCCCTAGCGGGATTCATCATTTCACTTGATTAGTAATATATTTATTTCCATGTTAAGGTACGCGTCCACTGGCCCGCCCCGGACGCAACACACGCACTGCACGGAACGGATTTTAGTTTCCTTTGTATGATTTCACATAGCGCTGCGTCCGCTACCCGCGCTGCCTGCATTTAAGGCCCGGTTTTTGCTCTGAGAAGTGACAACTGCGAGTGGCAAGTGAGAAGTGACAAGTGCGTATTTTATTCCCACTTATCACTTGTCACTGCCTATACTATGTTTTTTTTACTATTTGCCTATTCCTGTAAAAATCCCTGTGGTTTCTATATAGCCACGTTATACGTGGTAGAGCCACGTTGCAGCTATATTATGGTTGTAGCACGAAAGGATTGGCACGACCGGCGAAGGGCCACGCTTTCACAGAATACCAGCATAAAATAGCAGCTTGATGCTGCTGTGTTTCGTATGGTGAATGTAGAGAACCGGAGCAAAGCTGGAAACGAGGCATCCCATCTTAGTGATCATGGGTGACAACGCATCTGCATTTTGATTTGTAATCGAGGATAGATGTAGATGTCTATGGGCCACAGCATCCACTTACCATCAGGTGGACTGTATGCTCGTTTGTCACCCTAATTCTATAAAAAAGCCACTGCCCATTGCACAAATATAATGTGGTCCGTATGTTATCAGTGTCCGGAAAGTCTTCTACACAGCTATTAAGGGTTATACAACATCATAGTAGCAGTATAATGGAACCTAGAAAAACGTTTGTTTTTGTATTATTGCGCGGACAATTATAGAAACAAGGTGATGCACAGAGCGACCTTGAAATAGTTTGCTCATTATTTTGACATATTCAACATAATATGTTGCACAACACTTTTTTCCTTTTCCTCCTTTTGATATACACCTCCAGGTCACTCCATAAAATCCGAGACGAATAGGCATTTATAAACCCTAATTAATTTTAGTGAAAAAATAATTAGTTATATTTCATTTGGTAAGTACTTAGTTATATTTCACTGGGTTTCATTTTATCACAAAATGTACCGCTAAACAGTATACATTTTCCCGATTAGCAGACGCGTCCTTAATGAGGGCACAATAGCTGGGGTAGAAAAATCTGTGCAGCTATTGTACTATTGATTAAAACTACTTTTACGGATTTTATCGCGTTTATTTTACTATTTTTTTTAATTCCCGACGTTTCGGGCGCTTTCCAGCACCCATGGTCACGGGGGACTAAGATGACTGACTGTGGTGGTGAATCTCACCACCATCCTTCACAGTTAGCTACCGTGGGCAAATCTTTGTTACAGAGAGCACGAGGGATCTGTGACAGCAAACACCTGGCCGCCGAGCTTCAGCACGTCAAGCAAGTTCTGCACGACAACAAGCTTCTGGTCCCGCGCCTACGTCACAGTGACTGAGTGAAGCCGGCCACAGTCGAGCGTGTGCCTGCTGTACTACCATATGTTAGAGGTGTCACAGACAAGATTGGCTACATCTTGAAGCGAGCTTCTATTAGAATAGTCCTCATTTAGTCAGTTCCTACCATCAGTCAAGTGTCATATTCATCTACAAGATGCAGGAGTGTACAAGCTTGATTGTGAATGTGGTCTCCCTTATATAGGACAAACAAAAAGATCAATTAGAACCCGCGTAAAAGAACATATAGCTGATGTGAAGCATCAACGTTCCGGCAAGTCTGCGGCTTGTGATAATATCCTAGACAGCCCCAACCATTACACCAGATTTGATAGACCTCAAATCCTCGCGAAAGAACACCGATTCCTACCAAGGATGATACGTGAGGCTATTGAAATTAAAAAACATCCTAATTTCAATAGAGAAGGAGGCTGGGTACTACCAGCTTGGGATCCTATAATCAATAAAATTAAAACTAAACCCAAGCATACCACTGCAAGACCTCAGGACATAGTCAGTTCATTTTGCATAGATCGGACCATAAACAATAATTAAAAAAAAGCTGAAGGTACTCCGGGTTTAACAATGACATCGGGACGTCAGTCATCTCAGTCCCCCGTGACCATGGGTGCTGGAAAGCGCCCGAAACGTCGGGAATTAAAAATAATAGTAAAATAAACGCGATAAAATCCGTAAAAATAGTTTTAATCAATGTGTAGTGTTCGCGTAAATATAAGAAATCATTAGCTATTGTACTAGTCATAACAAATGTGGAAGTATTGTAATTTGCGGCGATTATAAGATAACAACTAATCACAAATTAAAACGTGAACTCTACCCCCTAAAGCGCGTTGTGGAACTTTACTTAGTTTTGAGCAGTGGCACTATATTATCAAAAATAGATTTGTCACACGCGTACGAACAGGCAATATTAACGGAGGAATCACGAGCATGTACAACTACGAGTATAAGCACGCACGTAAGCTAATATATCCACATTCCGTGTGGTTTAAGCTGTATACCGGAAAAAATCCAAAAAATTATGGAGGAGATCGTTAGGAGCGTACCTAATACTGTTGTATTCCTGGACGACATTTGTTGTTCGGGGATGGAGGAAACCCATTCGAATATTTTGCGGGAAGTATTCGTCGATTTCAGGCCGTAGGTTTAAGAATTAAATTAGAGAAATGTAAGTTTTTTTTTTAAAAATAGTGTCTGTTATTTGAGACACATAAATGGAAAAGTGGCTTGCACCCAGATAACTAAAAAACTAAAGCTT